TCCCTATAATAATACATCCATGGTATTTATCAACAAAAGGAATATTTCCAGGTAAATTGCAGAATCACTGAACATTAGGATCTGAATTGCTGTGGTTAATTAGAGATTTGCTAAAAGGTTTGGTATATTGAAAACAGAGCACTGCTTTGTAACTGAAAGCTGGCAAGAAATGTTGATCAGATCTGAAGATTTTGCTGATATTAATTCTATCATAAACGGGACAGATAAAGTTAATTTTGTAGTAAACTTTATTAGACATTATTTTACTATTTTCTAATTTTTCGTTGCATACTTTGGTAGATAAAATTATAAGTTAAAAAAAAAATGCTGTTTGTTAGTTACCAGATTATTAGGTGTAGCATTAAAACTAAAGTTTTTTGTTTAGAATTTTTCTATTGTACTATCTCAATTTTAGTTAAACGAGCCAAGTAAAGAAGAAGCTAGCCTACTTCACAGTTAATTTTCATAAGGACAAATTAAATCCTGTTTCCAGGACAGTAATAAACTTGCAGAAAAAGTCCATTTTAGTAAAAATGCATTGTAAGCTGCAACAGTATGATTTGAAGCAACAATTTAATAGTAAAGAATAAAATTCTAAAAAGGACAAAAGCACAATTTTAAAATCAAGCATGAAAGCTGAGTAAGATTTAATTTAATAACAGCTTAATTTTTTAAATTATAACAAAAGGAAAAAGATTACACTATTCAGGAAAAATTTTTTATTTGAAAATTAAAATATGAAAACTTATAGAAAATATTAAATTTTAAAATAAAGTATTATGGAAATTGAAAATTAAGAAAAACTGAATTTTTTTTTCAAAATTTTCAATTATGAAAATGCATAATAATTATTCATAATTTAATGTAAGAATCAAGGGATAATAATTTAAAGCATTAAAACCTGGACACTTGATGAGTACTGAACTCGTGTTTCATTTCACATTTTAAGCAAAAATTAAAATTATAAAAAGAAAACATTACATTTACACTTATAAATTAAAACACTCAATATTTTGCTATTTAACTAACATTTGGGGGGCTCCCTTTTTCCCAAGCTTTTCTTTTTGCCACGCTTCCCGCAGTACAATAAATTTGTTTCTGAGAATTCTACAATTTTCTTAACTGCCAAATTTCTCATGTATGCGAATTTTTCGACAACCTTTGCACAGATTAATTGTTAGAAGTGCATTGTCTATGTTGTCTATTTCTACATTTGGTAATTTTCACTTTTAGGAAATGATTGAAACTAGAATTGCTCACCTTGCCCCATCATTTATACACTTCCAGTTTGAATACTAAAATAGCTGTGCAATTTTTTCGTACAGGTTCCAAGTTTTACATCACATTTGTTTCTTCGGGAATTCTAGTACGTTAGTCCTTTTGTTAAAATCTTTTGGTATTCTGAGAATAAAATAAAAGTTTTAAGTACTCTTTGCCTAAATGACAAGCTTCCTAATGTGAAAAATTTTGTAAGTTTAAATTTTACGGTTAAATTGGCCATTGTATTCTTTTAGTACATATTTGAAAATAAAATGACACTTTGATCTAGAATTTTGCTGTTTCTTCCATCTTTTTTTTAATTATTCATACTGTTTTGTAAATTAGTACTCTTTTGTAATTTTTGTTTTTAAATTTTCAATCACTGAATTTGTATTTTGGTAATCTCTTGACTCTTTGAGAGTGGTTGTATATGTTTTTGTTTAGAAATTTTATTTGTATTTTTTTTAAATAGTTCTTCTTTTTGCTCAAAAGTGGAAATAACATGAGTTCAACCCTTCTTAATTGTTCAAATTTTAATATTTTAAATTATTACTCCTTTTGAAACATTAAAATGTGAATAACTTATATGCATTTTCATAATTTTAAGTCTTTAAAAAATTCTAAAATATTGTTTTCAGTTTATTTTTAACTTTCAATTTAAATAATATTTCTTTCTAAAATTTAACAGAGTCTCTAAGTTTTCTTTATTTTGAATTTCAAATAAAAATTTTTTTTTCCAGGATAGTGTAATTTTTTTCCTTCCATTTTTAAAAATTAAGCTTTTGTTAAATTAAATCTTGAGCAGCTTTTAAAACTGAGATTGAATAAGATTTTAAAATTGTATTTTTCCTCCCTTTTTAGAAACTTCTTCTTTACTATTAACATATATATATATATATATATACAGGGTGTACCGTAAATGTTGCGACAAACTTCTAGGGAAGGTAGGGCACATCATAAGGATTAAGAAGTGCATAGGAACCTATACCCGGAAATATCACCTGATGGTGCAAACTTTGAACATCTGTTGTAACATTCAAGCTGTCGTACACCATTTGTATTCATGTCCACTAAATGTTTCAGATTAATCACTCTTGCTTCTTTTCCCATCTTCTACCTCTGCTGCCACTTATTCCTGACATTTCCAGGTATAGATTCCTATGCAATTCTTAATCCTTATGATGTGCCCTACCTCCCCTAAAAGTTTGTTGCAATCTTTAAGGTACACCCTGTACATATAAACGTATAGAGTAAAGAATAAATTTAACATGTAACTGATAATTAAACTGCAAATAAATGCTCCAAGGAACTCCAGTAATAATTGGCCAAGATGTTAACATCGATAAAAAAAAAACCGAAGAATAAAATAGAAGAAATATATACACGAGTATATATAAATTTAGAAATTTCAAATTAAGATAATAAATTATTCATGCATTCGTTCATCATTATTCATAAATTATTAATTCAGGCATTATTTTGATGTGTATTTATTTCCTGTTAGGCTATTAAATCCTTTCTTGATTTAATTTTTGATTTTTATCAAATCTCATAATTACAAATAAATTGATTGCAAATTTGAAGTTGTTTATTCAGTACTATCTCATCAAGGAGAAAGCAAAATAACCAATCAAAAACTACATTCAAAATTCTGAATAGTACTCTGATGAATAACTGGTTATGATTATACTTCTTGAATAACAACACAAGAATACCACCTTCTCCAAATCTGTGAGTGGAAATTGCCTAATCCAATAAACAATAATACTTTGACAGTTTACCATGACCGATATGCACAGGCAGCCATTCCATGGGCATGTATAGAACTTGGATTTATCGGTCTATTGGATCCTTTATCACCCCTCTTACAGCAAGTGCAGATGGTCAATGCAGCATGAAAAATTAATAAATAGCATTTTGAATACAAAGCTCATCTGCACCTGCATGTTTACAAAATTCATATTAAATGAAGTTATCTGCAAGTGATGTTTGTACAGAGGCATTAGTAATGTTATCAAATCTACATACAGTGTTATAACATTTTGATAATATGTCATAGCACTCCTCTAATTTTGATATTTCTTATCAATTGGTTTAATATTATTTCTGTATAATAGAAAATTGATGCAAAAATGGCATTATTTTTTTATTATACAGAAATATATAACTCATTACAGGCAATCAAAACACCTTCAAAATTGCTCTAAGCATGTGAGCTCTTTAAAATTAGATATACTTTCCTCTAAATATGGCATAAAATGATCCAGAACAAAGCTTTCCTTTTTTTTTTTTTTTTTCTCTAAAAGTGAAAACCCTCTTCAGAAATCTTTACAAATTGAAAAAAGGTACTAATGCAAATTTTTGTAAAAGCAAATGAGTGTAAATGGAATTTTCACTAATCAGGACATATACATACTTTCACTGCTTCTAATAGACAAACTTCTAATAACCCTCAGTTATAACTTTCGTAGGGGAATTACTTTGATGCCTATATTACTTTCATTCAAACTCATACTATAAAACAATACAAAAATGCCAAAATTTGGCTTTATACCTCCCAAGAATACACTGCTTAATTTTACAGTGATCTGTATCAACATATTTTAATTCTGAGAAATATGCGATTTGTTCTATATAGAGTCAAAAGTCGTTAATCAGGAATGATCTATAATCCGGACCTCAAAGCTACAAACTTTCTGCGCATGCATCAACGCATCAATGCGATGACGCATGCGCGTAATATCTTTACGCATGCGCATAATATGTTAACGCATGCGCATTTAATGTATAAAGGAAGGTATAAGCTAAGCTAAAATTATCTATTTCACTTAATGTTGCAGATTGCGTTGTTCCTTAATCTTCGAATTGGATCCGGATTATTATTTTTTGCAGACTGTTAGAGCAATTTTATAAAAGTAAGCTTGAACTTTCGATTATGTCAAAAAGAATTTTCGATTCTGGAGCTGCCAAAGGATATCTACAAAGCGAAAGGACGTTTCGATGTCCATCAAACAAAAAATGGAATTGCTGCAAAAAATGGATAAAGGCATATTCTTTGTTTCTCTAACCATTCCGAAATCTGTTTATCAATTTCACGCTGCTCTGCGGGGGAGGGGAACGTCGCGGCGCGCAATGAACTGGAAGTTGATCTGTCAGCACTATCCTTATCTTCAAGGCAGATGTTTTTATTTTATTCGCCTTATAATTCATTACTAAATGTAGTATTTCACCTCGATGTACTCTGTCTTTCATACGATTTAAATCAAATTCATTATAAATATCACGAATACACAACAAATATTTTTCTGGTAGCAATTTCCTAATTTCGACTATGCGTAATGTATGCTTTACGCATGCGCGCGTTGAAAGAAATGTTTAATAAAGTAAACAAATAAATATTAAGCTTTTTTTTTGTTAATTTTGATACCATTTAGATCATAATTATTCTTTATTTCATAAATTACGGTTTCATATTTTTAATTTTATTTTATAATTTTGCTGCATGCCAGATTTTACCAGATTTAAACTGATTATCTATAATCCGGAAAATCGATAATCTGGAATCGCCGAAGTCCCGACGAGTCCGGATTAAAGACTTTTGACTGTACTATGTATGATGATTAGATATTTTAAAAGGTTAAAAAAAATAAGATTTAAACTAATGCATACATCATATCAGAAATATAAGTTATATACAAGCTGACACCTTAGCACTAAATTAACTACTAATTATTACTCACTTGGAACCACACAACTATCTTTGTAAATTTGCTTAATACTGTTTCTGATAGTCACAAATCCAAAAGTATCAATTGGTGATATAGGATGAGGTGGGTATTCAGATAAAACTTCTACTTCTACTCTGTCATCATTAATCACCTTCTGAACAAAATTCAAAGCCTAGAAAATATGATTTATGACAACAATATAGCTTGTGCCAAGTAATTTTAAGAAAAAAGATATTTCTTGCAATTATTTGAAAAATTACAATTAAAAGTTATGTACTCTGTGATCATTCACCCAACCCTGGAAGCAGCTGCCAACCATTGCCATCTAATTTTTCGTGAAGCTAAGATATGAAAGACAACAGCCATTTTAAAAATAGTGGCATATTAAGAATCACACAGAACTGCAACCAATTAAAAAAATAAAAATGCAAGAAGCATCCATAATGAAATAATTATCCTTTTGGGGGGCATTTTTCACCCCATGTACACAGTCTGCTTTAGCTTAAACAAATCACAGAGACATTGCAGACAACTTAGCACTGCACATATTATCATTTTCCCCATGAACACAGTAATTTGTTTTTGCTTAAAATACATAAGAGGACTGCATAAAGTTTCATCATAAAGTTATATAAAATTTGATCATTTACAAAGTACAACTTCACGGCATGTGAATTTTTTCATTCCTTAACTGCTGGGCAAAATGCCATATTTCTGAAAAAAAAAGAAAAAAAAAAGCATAACTTTCTTTTTTTATTAGCTGGCAAACTTCATACTCCAATCCTTACACATACCCCCCCAAAAGAAAAACATCCAATGCAATTAAAACAAATAATAATGACTGAATTTTTAAAGGTCGGAAACGGCGCTCATCTTCTGTGCATGCATGTATATTTACAGGGTTGCCATGTAAATACATAGTTCTGATGACATACATGGTTTGCCTATTTTAGTGACATACTGTTGTGCAAATTCATTTCAAGATTGGGTAGATAATCATTACGTACCAAAAATTATTCAAGTAAACAAAATACATCACTTTTTAAGATAACTCAGACTAAACTCCTGTCTTCTTAAATTAAAAAAGCATAATATTTTGATTATCATAAACATATAAACTGGATAACAGACCAATAACTTTTAATAAATTTATATTTATTTTTTATATATTGTGTATGGCAACAATGCACATTTATTATTGAATAACAATAACATAATGCCATAAAACAATGAACATTTATTCTTGAATATTATTTGTTTCATCCTGTTATGTTGGCATCCTCAAATGAATAACATACATAATGTGAGAAACTACTTTCTGTAGCTGTTTTGAATTAAGTTCTGTTGAACATTTGAGTAGTGAAAAGGTAACTACTGTGAGATATTGTAATACTGTAAGAACATCTGAGAAAATTGAAGGATTGCATTTTATTTATTTGTGATAATAATAAATCTTATTCATTTTTCATCAGACATATTTTGTACATATTATACGCAACAATACATATTTTGTTTGTCTTTTAAAATATTTAAATATTTTGCTTGACATGGTCTGCATTTCTTCAAACATTAAAAAGTGTCTAAAAATTAAATTATTATTATTTTTTTAAATTAAAGATTTTCTAAAGAATGCAATTACAAATTTGTTAAAAATAAAATCTATAAAACCCATGCGAGGGAAGAAGAGAGATGCTCTGTCTAATAGAACTTAAAAAATAATGATTATATACAAACGAATGAATATTTTGCAAATGGCAAGAGTAACTTGCAGCAGAAAAACAGAACAGTATGTAATTATCTGATGTCTATGAATCTACATAAAACAATAAAAATAAAAAAAATCCCAAAGTAATTTAAAAAAATAATTAAAATATGTCATTCAATGCAGCAAAAAACGTTAGTCATTAATGAAACAATCATATTATATACTTTATACAATCTTCTTATTAGGTGGAAAGTGATTATGCCCTGGCTGACTTTTTTTATACAATTTTAATAAGATAGATTTTTATAGTTTTATAACGCTTTCTACATATTACATAATATGAAGAAAGCAATATTTTATATTAAATTTTACAAAACAGAATGAAAGAGAATTTTTTTAAAATTTTTTCTTTCTAAAATTTCAGTTGAATTCCCTATATCTAGTCACTTGGACTTCAAGATACCGAAAGTAAGTTATATTTTGAAATTAATTTACATAAAAACACGAACCTCTTCAGTTGTTTGTGCCGGATGAACCCTGAGATTTACTTGAGCTGATGCTGAACTTGGCAAAACATTTAACTGAAAAGAGGACAATTCATTACAAAAGCAGCATTTGATATAAAAGCATTGGCTTAATTTTACAGTTATATTTAATGATAACATCACACTGCATATATTTTTTCAGATATTTTACATTAAAGAAGTAAATGGAAAGAAATGGAAAATATATGACACTGTCCATTTTCTGTCTTGTTTAATGCAGAGCAAAAAGTAACTGCTGGTAGATTTATAGCTGCATACAAGCTATATTATAATGCAGAGAGTTTTCTGCATTCTAACACATTTAAGTTCAAAATTATGATATTAATAATCTGTTGAGATAAAACCTAAACCAAAGCTACTCCTGCATTTCAGCTAGTAAATAAATTACAACTTTTTCTGTTTCTGATTAATTTCTTCAGGAAAACACCAACTTTCTTACTAAATCAAATAAGTTTTATACACAGTATGAAAAAAATGTAATGGTAATCTAAAACATTTTGTTCTGTCTAATCATAACATATGAAGATAAGCACACACATAGAAAAAAGCATGAGCTTCAATTAAGTAACTGGCAACACACAGTCAAGCAACAGCAAGAACAAATACCTTTAATATGTCTAAATATATCTTGTAATAAAATCATCTTAAAAACAGGGCGGGCAGTCTTGTGCTCCAGAAACAGACTATAAATCAAGAAGAGAGACTTCAGTACTTTAATTGGAAAATTCAGTATGTTGGATTCAAATGCATTTTTAAATTCCAAAGTTTCAACTGAATATAAAAGTTCAATAAGTATCATTTAATTTGTTGCCAAACTAAGTAATCAAGTATCTTCAGTACCACCACAGTGTTATTTATAAGTTGAAAATATAATGTTGCTCAGATTTGATATGCATAGCTAAATAAAAACATACAAGGTTGATTCATAGCCCATCTGGGGCTCACAAGTGGTGGAAGAGATAAGATTGCTAACTGCTGGTAGTTCAACCTAATTGCTAACTGCTGGTTTCAAATCCCCATGAATGCACTGACTGTATGGGCATTTTTAAGAATTTTCATAAGTGTAATGTGAATACACATTAGTTTTCCTTAGACCACCTTGAACACTTCCCTTTCTTAGATTTCGCATAATTTATCATAACTTTGCTTGATGAAATGAAACCCTTCAAGGTTTCAAAAGTTTATAACAAATGGAGGAAAAGAGGTGCATACCAGAGCTATAGATTTAGTTACGGGGTGGTAATAATAATACTAAGCAGGGCCAATGCCAGAGCTAATACAACTGATGTGGCTCCATTGAGCAGCAGAATTTAGGATTGGCAAAATTTTGGACGATTTGTGTGGGAGAGATTGCACCAGGCAGCAAAAAGCCTAGCACCATTCTAGATACCAGCTGGTAGCAAAATGCGAGCACACTATTCACTAATAAATAAAAAGATTATTAAAACTTAGAATTCGTTAAAATATGCCTCAATTCTGACAGTACAGAAGAGATTTTATACAAAATATCAAATAGAAATACCTATAAAAAAGGTAATTTGCGTATGGTACATGCCTTAGCAGAATGGCTACTTGTGTTATGCAAAATGAATATATTAGCTAGGGCTGTCAGCTAGGTCTGTTATATCACCATAGTTGGACAATAAGTGGTGGTGATGTATCAAGCACCTGCAAGGTACAAATAAAAGTCACAGAGATTCTTTATGAACTGGTATACTGCAAACTTTCAATATACTGGAAGCAATTGTGAATTACAGTCAAAAGTCGTTAATTCGGAATGATCTATAATCCGGACATCAAAACTAAAAACTTTATGCGCATGCGCCACGTTGACACATGCGCAGAGGCGTTCACGCGTGCGCGTAAGACTTTTACTTTTACGACTGCGCATATATGAGTGTGCGCAAGTGCAGAAGAATACGTTTTCGCGTGCGCATTTTATGTATAATGGACGTATAAGCTAAAATTATCTAATTATCTATTTCAGTTAATGTTGATGATTGCGTGTTCCTTAATTTTCGAATTGCATCCGGCTTATTATTTTTTGCAGACTGTAAGAGCAATTTTATAAAAGTAAGCTTAAACTTTCGATTATATCAAATAGAATTTCCGAATATATATTTGTTAATATGTAAAGGATCTAAAGTGAAAGTATGTTTTGAAATCCGAAATCTGTTTATCAATTTCACGCTGCTCGGCGGCGGGCGCCTAATGAATTGGAAGTTTGATTTGTCAGCACTATCCTTATCTTCAGCGCAGATGTTTTTTTATTTATTTGGCTTATAATTCCTTACCAAATGTAGTATTTCATCTCGATATGCTCCGTCTTTGATATGATTTAAAACAAACAAGTTCCTCGTCATTATAATTCGCTTCCGATAGCGAAGAAAAAGTGACAGAGGTTATTGAAAACAAAAAAAATTCGATTGACAAATTAGTTGGTGTTCTTGACACAGCAATTATAGGACTTGAACGGCGGAACGGAACTTTGTAATGAACAAGAAATTATGTCTGTTTAATAGAATTAAAGAGAAAGTATTATTATCATAATGAAACGAAGCAAAACTTAACAACTTACATTGAAAGAAATGTTATTTAAGTAAACAAATAAATATTAAGCTTTTTCTTTTTGCAAATTTTGATACCCTTTTTCTTTAGATCATAATGTTCTTTTTTTATTTCATAAATTACGGTTTTTCATATTTTTAATTTTAGAATTTCTGCATGCCATCTTACGAGATTTAAACTGATGATCTATAATCCGGAAAAATCGATAATCCGGAATCGCCGAAGTCCCGACGAGTCCGGATTAACGACTTTTGACTGTACTATATTTTTAATGTATTCTTTCAGAAAAGTAAATCACACTAAATGATTAAATCTGGTAAAGAAATTTATGATTATACTAAACTAGTTCTACTTAATGGATTAAAAAATTATATACAGATAGTTCCCGACTATATGAGTTAACTGGGACTAAGTAATTTTTCCATATGAGTGATATAAAAATGATGACACTGTTATGACATGATTTTCTGACACATTTCAAACATAATGACAAAGAAGTACACAATAACATTTATCAAAAATTAACAGTTTAATTTTCGATAAATTAAAAATAGCTAGACAAATAAAGAAAGAAAAAAATATGATAAATGACAATAAAAATTAATTTTTTTCCATTTTGATATTACACAAAAGGACAGTCTCCTCCCCTCTAAAAAGACTTTTGCTTTCGAGGTTGCTAAAATTGTTTAAGAATGGAAATTTCATCAGTATCTACGGGAAAAGATTCAAATATTTCATGTAAATAACAGGCTTTGAACATTTAAATAATGCCTTGATTCATGAGCTGAAGATGCGAGGTTGTATTGGAGGATAAAAAAACATCTTGTTGGATGATGATTTTGTGTAACAGGAGGTACACTGTGTAAAATAAAAAAAAAAAAGAAAACAAAAAAAAAAAAAAAAAAAATAAAAATAAAAAAAAAAAAAAAAAAAAAAAAAAAAAAAAAAAAAAAAAAAAAAACAAAAAAAAAAAAAAAAAAAAAAAAAAAAAAAAAAAAAAAAAAAAAAAAAAAAAAAAAAAAAAAAAAAAAAAAAAAAACAAAAAACAAAAAAAAAAAAAAACAAAAAAAAAAAAAAAAAAAAAAAAAACAAAAAAAAAAAAAAAAAAAAAAAAAAAAAAAAATACAAAGTAAAAAAGAAGCAAAAAAAAAAAAAAAAAAAAAAAAAAAAAAAAAAAAAAAAAAAAAAAAAAAAAAAAAAAAAAAAAAAAAAAAAAAAAAAAAAAAAGACTTCTATATCTCCCATTGACGAAATTCAAATTGCGTTTTTCATGTCTCGAAAGCGCAACTTGGGATATATATTAGATTTATATATAGTATTGTTCTAATGTAGGTATTTTGACATAAAACTGGACTTCTTCTGAAATGTCATGCCCTTTTTTTTTCATATTTCGATTCTACGATTCAAATTATGCCTAAATATTAAATTTTGCAAAATTTGTTGCGAAATTTACAGAGAAATTCGCACATTTATCTTCGCACAATTTTTTTTTTTTCAAGTTGCGCCAAGAATAATTCATTTGGCAAACTTCATAACATATGGCAACCTATTTTCCTTCCCATTTTTACATGGTGCATGAATTGAAAAAAAGTCACACCTTTCCTACTTTCAAATTATTTTAACAAAACGCTTAAACCGCATTTGATGTACTTTCAACAAATATGCCAAATTTCAAAACGCACCAATAAACGAGGGTAAGTTGAAAAATAAGTTCCCCCTGTCGACTGTGGTCAGAGTTGTGTATGAAAGTCAAAAAATAGAATGAGACATTAAAGATATGACATACCTTTATTTTATTATTCTCGTCCGAGTACGTTGAGACATTTGTCATATCGCTTGATAAGCTTTAAAAAGTCCTCCAAGAAAAATTCACGCTTTGCATATGGAAGAAGCGTTGAACGGCTATGGGCGAAAGGCGATACAGCAGGAAAACGCGCAAGTCACCGATACACCATTGGGTAGAGGTCGCTGCAAATCAAGCAGATGGTGCTGTTGCAGTGCCTGCGCAAAGCGGAGACCAGCCTCTCATTTGAGCCCCGGTAGGTATGGAGAAGAGGCGAGGTGCGTTTTGAATTCGTGGTCAAAGGAGTGAAGTGAGAGCGGTTATCCGCTATGAATGGGTACGTGGAGTATCAGGAACAGAAATCATAACCGCCACGTGGAAGTCTATGGGCCAGGTGTGATGTCGAAGCAAATGGTGCGGAGATGGTGTCGCACATTCAGTGATGGACGTCAGCAAGTGGAGGACATACCGAGAGCTGGACGGACGCGCACGGCCACTACAGATGCAAATGTCAGGAAGGTGGATGACATGATAGAGCGAACCGGCGTATCACTATCGATGAAGTAGCGGAAGAACTTGGAATCTCACATGAGCGAGGCTCAAAACATCATCCATGACATTCTTCGATACAGAAAAGTGTCAGCACGATGGGTGCCCCGACAATTGACCTCGACAGACAAGGAACAACGCATGGGGGTCAGCCTGGAACATCTCGTGCGTTACCATGAAGATGGCAATGACTTTCTGTTTCGGATTGTGACGGGGGATGAAACTTGGGTCCACCATTTCACGCCAGAATCGAAGGCCGCATCTATGGAGTGGAAACATCCGTCATCACCTGTCCGAAAGAAGTTCAAGACAACTCCCTCTGCAGGTAAAGTGCTCCTCACAGTTTTCTGGGACGCCCAAGGAGTTTTGTTGCTGGACTTTTTGGAGGTTGGAGCCATCAATGCTACGCGCTACTGTGACACCCTGTCGAAATTGAAAGAGGCGATTCGGAAAAAGCGGCCTGGCCTTCTCACATCAGAGTCGTAGCTAGGGGTTTCAGCGCCCAGGGACAACTGAAGATTTCGCGCCCCCTACTGCTTGCCAAGGATAGAAAACATTTAATTCTAAAATGTCGTAACATCAGTTTGGCGCCCCTTGGATTCTGCGCCCGGGGACAGATGCCCCCTTGCCCCCTCTAGCTACGCCCCTGTCTCACATCTGGCGTTCTGCTGTTGGATGACAATGCCAGACCACATTCGGCGACGGCAACGCAAAACCATATTGCAACTCTTGGTTGGGAGCGCTTACACCATCCGCCACACAGTCCTGATCTCGCACCAAGCGACTTCCATCTGTTTCCGGTTTTGAAGAAAAATCTCGGGGGAAGGCGCTTTGGAAGCAATTTTGAAGTGAAACAAGCCGTTCAACGCTTCTTCCATATGCAAAGCCCTGATTTTTTCCTGGAGAGCTTTTTGAAGTTTATCAAGCGATATGAAAAATGTCTCAATGTACTTGGTACCTATGTGGAAAAATAAAGGTATGTCATATCTTTAATATCTCATTCTATTTTTTGACTTTCATACACAACTCTGACCACAGTCGACAGGGGGAACTTATTTTTCAACTTACCCTCGTATAAATTCATGTACATCTTCGGAAATTTTGTACATTATATTTTATATAGTAAAAATTTTATATATTATAATTCAAAACGTTTTTAGAAAAATTTATAAGAATTTTTTAAAAACACAAAATTTTAAAATAAATCATAAAAAATTGGATCGGACTGAGAAAGACAGATTCGTCCATACCGAAAATCTCAGCCGATACACACCTAGACGCGCCCACACTGCACCTGTTGTGGTGGTTGGAACAAGGAATGTTGCAAGTCCAAGGAGTGCTGTTGCAGCCAGAGTGGCGTCAGCATACGTGGATTGAAGCATCCGCCGACATGCAGTGGTGCGCCCGCAAGCCACTTCTACCTCCATTATGCAGCGTGTTCAACACACCCTTAATGTTCCCATATCGATCAGAACCACCTGCCGTTGATTGGTGGCTAGTGGCCTGCACTCGTGGTGTCCGTTGAGAAGACGGCCATTGACCCCACATCATAAACGCCAACGTCTGTTATGGTGCCGGGCCCGAGCAATGTGGAGGACGGAATGGCACACGGTCTTGTTCCCAGGTGAGTCTAGCTTTTGTCTAATGAAAGTCGCCGCCACCGTTCTCTTCTGACCTCTCACCACTTGAACACATATGGGATGTGATTGAATGCCATTTGCAGACCCTGCCATTGTCGCGTTCAGAAGACGAATTGTGGCAAATGGTTAACAGGGAATAGAAAGCCGTTTCTCAGGACACCATCCGTAGTCTGATTGACTCTGTACCTAGACGTGTTGCTTCGTGTATCGGCGTCCAAGGTGGTCTTACAGCCTACTCAGCCGACGCTGTTCTCGCTCTGTATTATGCATATGATTTCGAAATAAAGATCACTTATTGCTTATTGCTTAGCCGTCTCTCTCTGTTTTTTCCTCTGTAGGGCTTCATCACTTTCTGGCCACTCCTTGCATTTTCAATGCCAGGTAGTGTGCATTGAAGATTTTTGCAGGCGAGTAATTAACTTCTTCAATTAATTCTACTTTTTCAAAGGAAAAGATTTTACTGCTTTGTATTCGACTACTTCATCTTGCAACTTAACATAACGGCAGCCTATCGTTAATCAACATGAGACAGAGCATGCACAGTGAAACATTTTTGCTTCAATGCAAGGAAGAAATTCATTTCTCAGTAAAGTTTCTTCTAGCACTGTGCATCGCGAGATATGATTGTAATATTTCTTTAATGTATTCTGCTGTATGAAAAATTTTTAAAAATAAGAAAAATTTTATTTTTATTTTTTCCCCTAAAATATTCTCATACAGATGCAATTATCAAAAGCTCATCAAATGAGCATATACATATACATACATTCACATATACATTTTGACAGATGACTCAGTCTTTCCTCACTGAACAGTGACACAGTTTTGAAACATAAATAATTTTAAAGAAATTATTTATTTTTTATTAAATGAGCTGAAAGGAAATACATGTATCTTATAAATAAATAAGTAATAACACATCTTCATTACTCGAGTCTAAAAAAAGAAAAAAAATAGGAAAGCCACCATAAATTAATTAAAATTTTAAATCAGAACATGACCAAATACTATTGTCGGTTACTTTAGACTAAAGATACTCATTAAATCAAATAAATGAGACGGCTCGCTTGAATCGACAAACCAAGAAGTTTCTTTAAAGGCATAACCATTTTATTTCAATTAATTTCAACAAACCGCTTCATTACAAACTCATTTCTATTTTTAAAATCTTTAAACTATTCTTCTAATCACAGTCTCGCGATAAACTGAGGCGTGCCACTCCTTTTCAAACAAAGTACCAACTGAGGCAATTCACTTAACCATTGTAAGGATCTTAAGTTTTACTAACATTTATTTTATTTTAAAACTTTACTATCACTTCTTATTTTCCACTTCCGGCCAGAATTAAATGTGTTAACTTGTTTATGCAAATTGCACTTGCTAACGCCCAAGTATTTAAGTTGTGGCTTTTTGCCAAGAGTTAGAGAGAGAGAGGGGGAAAGTGAGTTGCCTTGCCACTGTATTCCGCACGAGTTTTCAATCAGCTGCTGTCCGCCTTTAAGGCCAGAGGTTTAGTCCCCTTGATATTTAAAACGTAGCGTAGTTTCGGCAGTTTGCGTACTACATACGTAATAATTTAAAAGGCCAGTCTTAGTGTAAGGCATTTGTAAACTAATTCAAAGTTAGCTCTTATTTAAAATTTTAGTTAGTAGTTTTATATTTTTACGTTTAGACCACGTGTGGTTGGTCTCTGTATCCCGAAGTGCGGGAACGGCTGTAATCTTATAGAGAATAAAGGATAAAGTCAACCCTTCCTGCTGGTGTTGTCCATTCCACACATATTATTTGAACGTAGCATGAGTAAGCTTCCTGTTCCTATTCAGGACACGCAATGTTCCCGAAACAGTAAAAAGGAATACAAGTCCTGATACCATAAGTGGCGCAACAACTATATTAGATTTTAAAAAAATACTCTTTTAAAAGTTTTTATAATTTAGTCTTTTTTTACATTTCCATTTCTCAGAGAAGTAATAGCTGCATACAATAAAAACATTTATACATGATAATTTTTATTTATACCTTAGTACCACCTGTAACTGTTGTGACAGCAGTTGTAGTTCTTTGTAAAGCACTCATAACTGGATTTCTCATATATCTATTAAAAAAAAAAGAGAAAAACACTTGCATTTTACATACTCTAGCTATTTGATGTCACATTTGAAGACTGAACTGATCTGGATATTTTCAAATGAAATTCTTAAGCAAATACTGTACACAAAATAAATAAATAAAATTTGAATATTTTTTATTTTTAATCCAATTTTAAAATACGTATTTTTCGATATATGTATGAATTATCAAACAGATTACATTATAAAATGACTTACAGCATAATAAAAGGTTTAAAAAGCCAGATATTTCCAAAAATAACTTTAAATGGAAAAGATGCCTATAAAATAAAGAAATAATTCATAAATAAATACAATTTATTCACATTTCTAACAAATTTAATTGACTGACATTTCAAATTCAGGAAGCAAGCATACAGAAGGAAAGTAATTTTTTATTGAATTAAAATGGAAATAAAGCTGATAATTTAAAATATAAGTATAAAAACCAATTTCATAAAAAATTAATAGAGAAAAGCTTATTAATACATAAAAATGCACACAAAAAGCAGTAAAAAATATTTATTATTAGATCTTTATTAGTGAAAACTAAACGAGGTCTTCAATATAATATGATATAATATATCAAATCTTCAAATCAGATGAGACCAGAGAACACTGGTCTCGTCTGAATTGAAGATTATATCATGCAAGGAGTTCTGAAGATATTGAAACAACTGGACCCCTCATAGAGCAACATCGGGGAAGTTAGACGGGTGTGGCAGTACATCCCATCCAAGTTTCAAAACGTTTTCACAGGTGACTTGTATGTAGTCTTATGTTGGTTGTGATGGAGCTCAACTTCCTTATAGTATCTAGACGCTTCTGAATGATGAATTTGATTAAATGTGATGGAGCTCAACTTCCTTATAGTATCTAGACGCTTCTGAATGATGAATTTGATTAAATGTGATGGAGCTCAACTTCCTTATAGTATCTAGACGCTTCTGAATGATGAATTTGATTAAACTATTAAACTGGTGAAAGTACGCATTTGAACTTATTGTTTTTTACTCTGTAGAAACTTGTGGCGGACCACACAGAGTTTAGAAAATCGTGTGTGATGTCCCCACAAATCATCGTTTTCAAGCTGTTACGATGCGTGAGACGACATGGTCTAACATCGCAGACGCAATAATTCGTTCCAGTTGACAATACATGAGACATAACTTTACGATCAGTGTCAAGGGATTTTAGTGTTCTGCACTGTGTCTGTCATCAAAGCCTCTAGATTTCAGGAAGGCTGGCGAACCAATGATTTTGTTTTTCCTCTGATATCATTCCAGATGTAACGAATCAGAGGATGCAAAATACAACTGAAAAATTAAGGAGACATGACTAATTCAATTTGCAGATTGTTTCCAACGAGACAACACGCCAGCATGCTCTGGAACTCTTGACTAGAGAGACTAGCAGTTAGCAAAATCCTCACATAACGAGGGCAGTAATCTTACCTACAATAATTGTTCTATGTTTTTCATGTATGCATATTGTATAGGATTTTCTTATAAATTTATAATAAATATATACTGCATTAAAAATGCAGTAAGTAATACGCAGCCTCAACAAGTGTACTAAACAAATAACAACTTGGTCGGCTACTAATCTTTACATAGAGTCATCAGCGCAACCTGCTGCAGGTTACCAGAAACTCAAAAAACATGACAGCTTTTATTATATCCTAAAGCAAAGGTCACAAACTGGTGGTTCCTGAAGCAATTTTATGCAGCCTCCAAATATATTTCCACTAAGTAAATTAGCATTATTATTACATTAATTACTATAGTAAGAATTTATGACAGTCAATGATTTTGAGCCAATTTTACGTTATTTTCGTTGCCATTAAAAAGGAATGTGAGCTGCGAAAATCTGCAAATGGACCTAATTAATTTACACTGTGATATAGATCTTATTCGAAGATTAAGATCCAGATTTAATTTTTTTGCACTTATCAAAAAATACATATCCTCAGTTATGATTATTTACAATAAAATTAATCAATTTGTTTGGGAGCACACTTAAATGTAGTTTTTCCCCACAGTTAAAATTATTAAAGTCTAAAAAAAGAACCAGATAGACCAATCAGCATCTATAATTCGTGATAAAGATTGTTTATAGTAAACTCTTCCCCAAAATTACAAGTTTCATCAAATTCGAAACTTCCATAAGATGCTGGAACTGAAAATTTTAGTAAGAAATTAATAAGTGTATAATTATTTACATAGGAATATATGCTTATATCCTGCATATGTCGAAGAAAAATTTAATACATAATTTTTTCCCCAGGTGTCATTATTATTATTGTTTACACGTTTTGATAAATATTTAGTTAAAAAATGTTTTTTACACTTTTCATTTGGGTAAATTAAAAAAAAAAAATAAGAAAAAGACCCATTATCATCTGCTTTCAGATCATGCATTCAGACTGCATGTAATTTTAGTTTGAGACCACTGTTCTAAAGCATCCCACATCTTCACTTGGTTATGAATGCTTGAATGATGGATGTTCAATGTTTCTACAGTGTCTTGTATCCTGTAACATGGGTTCCATTTGATTGATGAGTTTATTTTGTCATCACTAACTTTGGTTGCCCCCTTGGTGAGGGGACTGTTGAGTTCAAATTTACCAGCATGGAGTTTCATGAACCATGGTTGACACTGATATTCTTAATAGAGCCAAGGTTTTCCAATGGGATAGGTATTGATCGCTCAGGGCTCACTGAAATTTTATAGAGGGTCAATTATGATCAAAGGGTTGACTAGGGGTCAATAGCCAAATATGCAGTGGTAATTAATCAGCATAGTGAAGATCCCATTGATCACAAAAACGTGTGTGGTCCCGAAATAAAAGTTGTCCCCGAACCAACATTGTTGCCTTTTCCCTTTCCTTAACTAGTAGTGAAGACAATATTTAACTATATTATAAAAACAAGAAATAAGTTGAATACTTCTGAACAAAGTAATTTAAGAATTAAGCAATGTTATGCTAAATATTAGAAAATTTATCATCACATTAATTAGAATCAAACTTTTGTGCAATAAGAATCTGTGATTTTGTTTCTGAAAACTTGTTTATATCTATAAACTTAAAAATACAAAAAATAATAAAATATGAATCTAATAAACCATTTTTAAAAGTTTTTATTCATATTCTTAGTCTAACTTTTACTGTAAAGCTATTTGCATGCAATTATTTGTATTATGATTATTTTGCATGCTGTATATTTTACCAAAAAATGTAAGGAGGCTGTTGAAGGAAACTACCCTTTTTAATCAATGTAAGAAAAGGTTGGAAACCCCTGTTATGCAGCATATTCATCATGAACCTTACACAAGTTTTCACAAGCCATCTTCTGTTTATAATGGTAAAACTGTGAACAATATGATGAAAATTACAGTTTGATATTACAGTTTGAAGATGCAAAATCTCCAAAATTCAACTAGCTTTCTTTTCTCTTTCATTTTCTTTTTAAGAATGAAGCTAAAGCTGTCAGCTGTGAAATAATATAGCAATAACAAAAATGTGAATGATTCCAAAAATGAATTAGTCCCATCTGTTACAAAAACTTGGCTTGACTTCTTCTTCTTCTTGAAGCTTGGCTTCCCTTAGGCACCTTACGCTCTGACTCAAAGTCTTAACTTTTCTGGCAATTCAATATACATTTTAAATTGGGCATTAATAAATGGAGAAACTCAATCTTAATTTGCCACTAGCTATATTAAAAAAGTTACAAACATTGCAGTTGATTAATGTTAATCTAATGAAAGTATTTTTGGGGTAATTACACAAAATTAAGCTTGAATTTTGTTAAACAATTTTTTTATTTATTATATTTTTTATTTTAAAATTGAAATATTGAAGCAAAAATATTAAAGCAAAATAAGTAATTAAATTCCTTTAATCAATTATTTTTTTACCAATGGATTTGCAAGAGATATATGCAATATTTAAATTACCTTAAAAACTTACACAATAAGCAAGTTTCTCAAACATTTGTTGTTCTGGACCTTTACCAAACATGCTGAGGAACACATCACCTTCCAATCTTAAAATTAACAAATATACATATGAGAGCAAAATCTAAAAAATTCCATTTCAAAATTTAAAAAAAAGCAAATGTAAAGTTATTACTATACAAACAAAACTCCCATAAGTTTAGATTTGTTTCAATTATACATATATATGTAAAATATAAAAAATATGATGGCTTTGCTCTGCGCGAAAAGGCAACCTCTAATTAATTTTCCGCAATTTCAGGATCTTCCCCCTAGACCAGCACTTTTAAGAACATTTTGGCATATTACATAATCGCTACAATAAATGAAGAGTTCGTGCCAAGTGTGTAAGTTTTTTTCATCAGATTGCTTTTTTCCGCCTGCCGCTGTAATAGCCTTTGCTGCCGCTTTTCCTGTCTGTCTTTCTTTGTTTGACGCATAGTTTATGACTAATATATATATACAGCAGTAAATTTTTTAAAATAAATATTATCGTATTCAGTCTAAATTACCATCGCGTATATAATCTTGAAGAATCTAAAGGAATAATGACCTGCAATTTTATGTTAATAAAGATATAGAGTTGTAAAAATGAAACCTTTCTGTGCCATCACTTCTGCTGTAAGCCACTCAGCCATGTCCGGATTTTGATGCCAAATTTCATTTCCAATGCCGACATACAAACGTATATAAAAATTTTTTTCTGTTACTAAAACTACAGGGTGCCACTCAAAACAGGAGAATGAAATTCCCTGACTTTTCCAGGTTTTCCAGGTGCGTTTCAAGAAAATTCCAGTCTATCCGCGTAATGTACGTTGGCTACGCTAAGAGGTAAATTAATGGTATTACTTGTATTGTGTAGCAAATTCACTTAATTATTCAATAAATCCCAGAGGACATTTATTCTTAATTATTCTTGGTATACTTTGTTTGATAATTTTGTTTACTTTTCCACTTAAGAAACTTAATAAATTTAAGATATATACATTGGATAACAAATGTATGTTTTATTTATTTATTATTACTCATGATCATCACCAGTTCAACACGAGGCTAATCCGGTCCTTATAAATCACAACGCAATGCTAAATAGTTAGGTTAGATTTTAGGTAAATTTAATTTGTGTGAGGTATGTTCTTAAAAAGCACCTTAACACTTGAAAACACAAATATAATTATAATAGTTGTTGTTTTCTCCATTGAAGATTGAGATTAGAATCTTCCCAATCTGGAATAAAATAAGGCTTTTTTTGCAGACATTCTGCAGCTAAACGAAAGAAAGAAATCTATTTTAATAAATTGAGGTATTTTATATTTATTTCGCAGCATACATAAGAAAAAAATATGTGCATTAAATTTCGTGATGGTATGTCATCATACTGCTAGAATTAATTTCAAGATTATGCCAGAGAAAATTTCCTGAAATTTGGAAATATTATTTACTAATAATAAATAAATTTAGAGGGAAGAAGCATCATTAAATTATACGAATAACATAAAAATAAAGATAATTACTTAAAAATTGAATTAGAATAATCAACGATATTTTAGCGAATATAGTTATATTACATGGTTAGCCTAGATGACTGATTACTATTTTTTTTTTATTTTTACTAAAATGCAAAATGGCAAGGTATTTATTTAAAAAGAAAAAAAAAGGTTTAAAATTTTGCGCATCATCATGTCGCCAAATCCATACATTGGAGATTATTTTAACCAAAATGACCGTCTATGCGCAAAGAATCTCTAATTCTTTGAACGTCTATGTAAAGAAGAAAAGGTTCCATACAAGTAAAATGCTATTACGCCGCTAGAATGCGGAGGGAAAAATTTGCCAAGGGATTTGGCGACGGAACCTGGCGGCCAGAATTTCCCTCTCCGCGATGTGTACCGGAAATTGAGAAACGTGTTAAGAAGAAACGTTCTTTGACAAAAAGAAAGCTACGAAAATCCGTTTTTAAATTATTGCGAAAAATCCAAGAAGAAACGTTTTATCAAAGGACGTTTCTTCTTGGATTTTCGCAATAATTTTAAAAACGGATTTTCGTAGTTTTTTTTTTTTTTTTTCCCCCCCCCCCTGAAAATAACTAATCCCATGAATTAATTTACTTGCGCCAAAAAATATTTTCTTTTAATTTAGAGTTTAACCACTTGCGCTAAGACTAAACTTCACGGTTGCGGTGGCCGTGCGCTACAATATAGCAAGTGGTAAAGTGTCTCATTTACTACGCCGCTCCGCATCTGCGAGTGCAATCCAGAGCTGTAACTCGAGAAATAAACAATCTCGTTGTTAGGCGACGTGTGCACCATGTTATTTTCATTTTTGCGATAAATGCTTATCGACGTGGTGTTCACGTCGCTCGCAGTTTGAGACAAAAACATCTCGACGTGCGTGGCACGTCTTTTTAGCGCAAGTGGTTAAAGAAATTTTAAAAGATATTCATTTAATGAACTCTTGATAACGTGACCTTCGAACTTCGACACCGGTTTCGAGCTTTGGCAGCAGATATATCACGCATGCACAGCTGTTTCCCTCTATGATGGAACGGAGCCACGTCTGTTGCAGAGAGGTTTTCCTTCTTTACAATACATATTCTTTGATTCTAACCTCCATGGTACCGTATACTAGGATTAAACCCATTTTGTTTTATACGAGAACAGGTACTTTCTTTAGTTCATGCACTGCACATGCGATTCTCGAGAATACTGGAAACCAAAAGTTGCTTTGCCTTTCTAAAAGACAATCAAATTGGAGCTGCGAAAATTGGCTCTATGCCAGCTACCCGAATGACACTCACGTGATACATAATTCGCCAAAAAAGTTATCTCTTCCGACGTCGGCGCAAAAATCGCTTTTTTTGGCGGGATCGTTGTATGAACTTCCCTGACTTTTCCCTGAATTTTTTGGTCAATTTTCGAATTCCGTGACTTTTCCCGGTTCTCCCGGTAGCGTGGCAACCCTGCTACTTAATATAAATATTTAGTAATATAATATAAATATTTATTAATCATATTCAGTCTAAATTACTATTGCACATGTAATCTTGAAGAATCTAAAGGAATAATGACCTGCAATTTTAAGTGAATAAAGATATGGAGTTTTAAGAAATGAAATCTTTCGGTGCCATCATTTCTGCTGTAAGCCACTCAGCCATGCCTAGATTTTGACGCCAAGCTTCATAATTTCCAATGCCGACACACATATATACTACGTATATAATTAAAATTACTTAATTATATATAAATGGAGAAACTTGATTATACTACCAAACTACTTAATTATAAACTTAATTTTATACATATATATCACAATATACACAGTCATCAACAAGATGATAATTTTGTACTTAAACTTTTGGTTTCATTCAAGATGTGGTAAATTTATCAATTCAGTCATTTAACAACGAATTTAGAAAATATGTTTTATGCAGCTCAAGACAAGATACTATCAAAGCTAGGATAATGAGTTTATTATCCTACATAACATACTACAGTTTGCATTCTGATCAAAAGGTAACATCTAGGTGAACTTGCGCTTTGGCTACCAGATGTTAAATTTAATCTATAAAACTATTGAATTTACCTAAATATCCAGAAAAGACGATGTACATGATTTTTTTCCTTGATAGTCATTTTAACTTCACTGAGATCAGTAAACTGAGTGTACTGAGCTGAACTGGCTTAATACATTAGTGATAATAAAAATAAAGAAAAAGAAAATTATATAGTATAATAACAAACTTGCACTAAGAACAAGTGGTTTTTGTACAGTACATTTCACTTCTATGTACTGAAATTTATAGGTAAACATTTCCCTTATAGGTAAAGGATATTTTCATATCTTCCCTGTGATAATTTTTTGCAAATAAACCTGTCGTCAAATGAAATTTAATCCGATAATGAATAAGCATAAGATTAAAATGTACTCATAAGATCTTCGACTTGGTTTCATGAAACATTAATAAATCCTCTGTAGGACGCTTTAATCTGTTGATTATCTAACTGAATGCAAAGAATCTGTTCTATGCAAATGTTTCTCAGAATGACTGACATACATTTAAGCTCAGGTCTATTTAAATTTTTCATGTTATATTTATATTTTGTATCTCTTGATTAGCTAACTTATTAAACAATGAACTGTTTCTTCAAACTTCTATCAAATGATAGGCACAAGTTTAGCTAGATATTTGTTAATTTCATAGTCGATGGGAAAATACCAAGTAAAATTGTCTTCTACAGAATATTATATAATATATACCTAAAAAACATAATGCTATGTTTTTTTTTTTTTTTTGTAGTACTTACTCCAGCCTGTAGGGGTTGGACTGATATAGACATAAATTAATTAATTATCTGAGATTATTTTAAGAATTACACTCTAATTTTTAATCTTTGTGATTGTTAGTTTAGATTCCTCTAAGGGTCCACCCTGGCACGGTGGAGGGGCGGCAACGTCCTCTGAAGGGAGGGCAGCTAACGGGCCAGCCACTGAGCTGCAGTTGGCTTTCCAACATGGTGGGCTCAAGCAGTCTTGGTGGTACATGACTATCTCTCACTAAGCAGTGCCTGGTAGTGGGCACTGTGGTCGGGCAGGTGATGGTCATATTAGGTTGTCAAATTAGATTGGGAGGAGAGCAATATCCCAGTGATACTTTTTCTATGAAATGAAGACTGGTATCCAAATTAATGTTGATTGTTAGTTTAGAAAAAGGCTGATGTATTTACTTCTTTTGTTGCACTAGCTCCCTGATGATTATGCAGCAAAAGTTTTTGGTTCGCACCTTTCATGCAATTTACCACTATGGCTGTGGTTTCTTATTATTGTATATAGTTTGTTCCGAATTGAAAATAGAATGGATTTTAAACATATTAATTTAATTTATTTTGCCTTATATAAGACATATATATTTCCGAAATTATTTAACATATAGTTTTTTATTCAAACTTGTAAAAACTACTGAATATGCATATGTTGGATTTTTCTTGGAGCCACAGCTTTTGGTAACTTTTTGGTGAGCTAACTACAATTTCTCTTCTCATTTCCTTAATTTTGCAGCACATTGGTCAAAATTTTTTTGCGCAATTTTTTTGCGCAGCACATTGCGCAAAAAAATTTTGACCAAAATTGGTCTTATTTGTATTGTTCTTACAACTTTGCTTATAATAATATATATATATATAACAATACAGACATATATAAAACAGGAAAATATAAATGTGACAATACATACCTTGAAAGATGTCCACCATATCACATCACAGCTCACCAGGAGGAAGGGGGCACCCAGACCTGGCAAGCTGAAGGCTGCCTTTACACAGTTAAATGCCTTCTCCACACTCCTAGAGCTGATCCAACCCTATCAACCCAGGGGGACAATTTTTTTTTTCACAAAGTCTAGGTTTTGAACAAAAAAGAAATGAACTGGCAGCCTTCTTCTTGCGGGCATTTGGCTATCTGGTGCTCCATGCTAATAAATACACCAATGAAACTGTACAGAATTGATGCAATCAACTTCAGGAATGATATCCTCTTTTATTTGTTAGAATTGAGCATTTTCTCAAGACCTTTGCTGGCACAATTCTTTATAGATAATGTTTGAAAAAACATACAGTACTTTTTAGAAATTAACCATCCTACAACTTAGTGTTATCTACAAATTAAATTTGAAAAATACTGGAGAAAGCCTCTTTATTCATTACATTTTAAAACAGACATATACACTCTAAACAACAACAACAAAAAAACAAAACTCCCGAAAGAAGGAGTAGTGCGATAGAGCCAAAAATTGGTTGATAGGAAGATTATGTATAGAATAAAAAATGATTAATTTCAGAGTGAATGATTGAATTAAACAATTGAATGATTTATTTCAGAGTTACATAGTTACAAAGTAACGAGCTCAATACGGTGCTGCATACAGGATAAAGCTCTCGTATGGTCTCCTGTGGTATTTCTTGCCAAATTTGCTCCAGTTGTCCTGACAACTTGACCTAACAAGAGTTAGGTTATCAACATTTCCCTGTAGATGCAGTTGCCTTCTCATCATATCCCAGACATACTCAATGGGAGAGAGATCAGACGATCTGGCTGACCAAGGAAGTGTTTGAAAAGCTGTAAAACAGTTCATAGCAACACGTGCCATATGTGGTCTGTCATTATCTTGCTGAAAAATAAGGCCAGGGTCCTGCAAAAGGAATGGTAGCAAAACAGGTCTCAGAATGTCGTCGAAGTACCACTGTTTTGTAAGTGTGCCTCTAATGACAACCAAAGGGGTCCGGCTATCAAAGGAAAATGGCACGCCAGACCATAACTCCTGCTTGAGGGCTTGTGTGGCATGCAGCAGTGAAAGCAGGATTGGCATGCTGCTCTCGGTGTCTCCAGAGACATTTCTGATGATTGTCACAACACTGTTGGAAGCCGGATTGATTGATAAAGACTATACGTCCCCAGTCAGCACCATTCCAACCTGATCAAGCCAAGCAAAACTGTAATCTGGCTCAACGGTGTGCAGGCATCAGTGGTAGGTGGCGTAATGGTCGGTACGAGCATAGATTTCGCTCTATGTCTGATGGTTGATAGTGATGAATGAGATGCTGTGACAGCTGATCTGACAATCACTTTGTCTTTCTGATCTGTTGTGGTCCTAAGCCAACTACTACCATCATGACGCTAAACTCTGCAATTGTACACCCATGCTAGCCAGCATCTTCTAATCACCGCATCGCTTTGACTCATATGACGAGTGATTCTCTGATTTGCCCAACCTGCCTCTTTCAATCCAATGATACAACATCTTTGAAACTCTGACAGTTGCTCGTAATGAGCTGAATCCTATGGCATGGCATTTTTTTCAGTTGTTGAAAGGTATCTTAAAATGCAATGCAACAAAAACTTTTCAACAACACTTCAAGAACAGCTCCTTATATACATCTGCTCGATGTGCTGGAGATCGCATTATTCATTCATTGGACACCAAATTTTAATCATTTGCATATTTGGTCAAAACATTTATGCTTACAGAATTTCTAAGCAATCGGATGATTCCTTTTTGGTGCATCTTTTTTTTTTTTTTTTATAGAGTGTACATTTAAGATTATACAAGGTGTGGCTATTAATTTTCAGGACTGCTCTAATAAAACCAGAACAGATGATGTGAAAAACGTAACCTTTTAATACGTTTCGAAGTAATCCCCATCTGCCGTAACACACTTCTGTGTTCGGCTGTATAAGTTGCGGAAACAACTTTTAAAGTCCTCTTTCGGAAGGCTCTTCAATGTCGACGTCACGTTCTTGATGTCTTCAACATCCACAAAGCATGTTCCTTTGATCACAGTTTTGATGTCTTCAACATCCACAAAGTGTGTTCCTTTCATCACAGTTTTCAGTTTGGGAAACAAAAAAAAGTCTGCAGGGAACAAGTCAAGAGAGTATGATCAAACATTCCCAAACTCAAAAATGTGATCAAAAGGAACATGCTTTGTGGATGTTGAAGACATCAGGAAGAACGTGACATCAATATTGAAGAGCCTTCCGAAAGAGGACTTTAAAAGTTGTTTCCACAACTTATACAGCCGCACACAGAAGTGTGTTATGGCAGATGGGGATTACTTCGAAACATATTAAAAGGTTACGTTTTTCACATCATCTGTTCTGGTGTTATTAGAGCAGTCCTGGAAATTAATAGCCGCACCTTGTAATATTACACTTGAGACATATACAGATTTAAAACAAACATATGACACATCTAAATAATTTTCAGCAATAGTTACCAGTTTCTTTGAAAACCATCAAAGCCTTCAGGGTTCAGCTCGTCAGATTTCTATATAGAAGCTTATTGAAAGAAATATATATGTATGTGTGTGTAAAAGGCTAAGAGGTCTATACAGAAATTAGAGTTGAAAATTCAATAAACTACACTGGTGTGAAAAAATTAAGGACGAAACGGTTTTTTCAATATAACTTTGTACGAAAGCTTTCCAAATCAACACATTTAATACTGTACGATCCCCAATACGCAAGGACATGAGTAATGTAAGCAACACTTACTAAAAGAGAAATCAGAGGGATAAAAAGAAGCTTTATTGAAAAAGAAGAATGGAGCGCAATGCGACTGAAGGCCGAAACATCCCTGTGATGGGTGTCCAGCAAGAAACATCCAGTTTTTAATAGGGGATCTGATCTCCCCTGACTGCTAGCCAGGTTTCACAGCGTTTGCCCATGCTGAGAATGAGGGTGTTAATGAGTTGTTGAGGCATTGCTGCCCATTCGTCTTGCAGTGCCAATCCAAGCTCCGGAATCATTACTGGTGGTAAGGTACGAGCTGCCAAGCGTCTGCCTAGAAAATCCCATACATGCTCGATGGGATTGAGATCCAGAGATCGTGCCGGCCAATCCATACGTTCAATATCCTCACTCTCTAAGAGCTGTTCGGCAGCTACTGTGCGATGACATGGTGCATTGTCGTCCATGAAAAGGAACTGCGGACCCATAGCGCCTCTAAAACGACGCACATATAGAAGAAGAATCTCGTTACAATAACGGGTCCTGTTGACTGAAGCTGCGTCGAAGATGTGAAGGTCTGTACGACTACCAAGCATGATGCCTCCCCAAACGAGAACACCGCTACCTCCATACCTGTCCCTTTCAATGATGTTCGAGGGATGATTGCGGCTTCCCCGCTCTCTCCAGATGAGTATGCAATGAGAATCGCAACTCAGACTGAATCTGCTCTCATCTGTAAAGAGTACTCGTCCCCATTCATTGTCTCTCCAATTCTGGTGTTCCCGGCACCACAGAGAACGCCTTCTCCGATGGGCAGCCGTTAGAGGTACACACCATACAGGGCGTCGTGCAAACAGACCACCACCGTGCAGTCTTCAGGCCACGGTAAAACGCGATATCGGTCGTCCAGTCGCCTGTGTCGTGTGTCTAGCGATTTCTCCCACTGTCTGCCGCCTGTTTCTTCTGGCCTGTAAGGCAATATACCGGTCATCTGCGGGTGTAGTTCCTCGTAGACGACCGCTACTAAACCTCCGGATAGCTGTTCCTGTAGTTTGAAATTGTCTCCAAAGTTGTGAAACGATGCTGTGAGCAATTCCAAACTCTGCAGCCACACTTGTCACACTGCGGCCTTCCTCCAACTTCCCAATGATTCGACCTCGGGTAAAAGCATCCAGATGTCATCTAACAGATTGATTATTCGCCATTTCTCGCTGAGGCAGCAACTCGGTGTGATTTTAACTGCTATACGGTGTGCAATCTCTTTGCCAGAAATACTGATCTTACACCGACAACATGCTTTATACTACTCAGACACTCCCCATTACGTCTACCTGCATATCTGCGCATGTGCTACCATACATCACCTTACTTAATCTCCTGATTGGTCTTTCTGTCTGCTCTGCCTCTTCATTCAGCTGATATGCTCATTTTTCGACTTCGTCCTTAATTTTTGCACACCAGTGTATGTCCAATTCAGAAAACTGAAAAGAGAACATCACCACTATAGTTGACAACATGAGCCATACTCAGTTCATTGCCATACTCTTAAACACAGAATACCAATTTCTTTCTGCATATATTGTGAAAAGATACACTGGACATTGCTCAAAATATTCACAGCCACAATTGTTTAACTTTACAGTTGTTAACACAGCGACTTTAGAAAACAAGAGTTCTCTACATATGAAACACTTTTGTTTCATTAGAAATGAAAATGCCAATATTTCAACCAAAACTAATACAGCGATTTATGTATTCTGTCTTGCAAATAATCAAACTGCTTAAAAACTGCCCAAAAAGAGACTTGAACTTACTTTGAGAGAGCCTTTGCTAAAATAACTATTGCTGTTTCTCTGGGTGGTGTTGAAGAATGGCCAGCAACAGTTTTCACTTTTACTTCCAAATTTAAACTGCCTTTTTCTGACACACTCAGACTGCAAAATAAAATGCAAATAAGAAATGCTAACAAGAGTGAATACAAAAGCAGTTTAAAGAAATTATGCAATTTAAATTAAAATTTGATAATTCGTCCCAGGAAAGTAGTACAGATTTATATTTTGAAACAGAATTTAATTTAAAAAATCAGAAACGCATATCAAATACAGAAGGAGTTTACTCATTTGTAGAACGATTTTGATATAGAATTAAACAAAAAGCAAATGTTTTGGAATAAAAATTTCTGGCAACAGCTTATTACTTGAAATAAGAAACACTGGCTTCTACTTTTAAATTTATTTTCTTTCAAAATATTGCATGTAAGTAAGCTGTGGGTTGTAAGGTATGTTTTTGCACTTTCTGAAGAGAAATATTCCTATTCCATAATTAAAAAACATTATGAAATTCATAGTATTAAAACTTCTAAGTGCAAAATAAGAAGAATTATTAATCAGAAAGGGGAAAACTCTCAATGGGAAGAAATCTATCCATCAATGGTAACCTTCTTCTAAATGGGAAGAAAACTCCAAATGAATATCTGAAAATATGTATTGATACTAATGTTTCTAAAGTTAAATTGTTGGTTACAAGAAAAATCTGCTGATACAAAAATCTATCATGAAATCTTTAAATACATCTGTAGTAACAATAAATAAAATAATAAACCAGTATTTACAATTTAAAAAGGCTAAAAACGCATAAAGTTAACCAGTTCAAGTTAAGGCATGCAGATCAAAGGAGAACACTGTAGAAAACTATTTAGCAGGAGATAAATGGAAATACATTGTGACCCTTAATGAAACATGGGTTTTAATTAAATGAGTGCAACCAAAAAAAAAAAAAAATATTTATTTCCAAAAACCAAGAGTAAAACATGTACAAATCTTGATCTGTCAATGCAATAGAAGTTTCAGTTTGGGGTTTATGATTTTCACAGGATTACAACAGGAAATTAAAAATAAGAAGAGAGAGAAAAAAAATATTAAAATCATTTCGACGTGCTATCAAAAAAAAGTTTTACATCCTACATTCACAGACGAAATTCCATTTCTTTATCCTAACAATTTTCAAAGAGTGAAATGTCATTAAGACAAAGTAACAAGTTATACTTCAAAAGGTACGATTGCATTCCATGAAAAACTGAAGCCTGATACAGGTATTACATACATAGCTTTTCAACATATTCCTGCAAATTTTCCTGATGTTTCACCTATGGATTATTGTACCTTTCATCTCTTGAAAAGAGCTCTTTTTAAGCAAACCCACCATGACTGATGGACTCTAGAAAGTGGTGGAAGAGGATTAGAAAATAATATAGCTGTAAATTTTATGAAAAGGCCTTCTATCGTGGAAATTACGATGCAAACTTATAGTCCAGAAAAACGGCTATCAGATCAAACATAAAAAAAAAAAAAAAAAAAAAACTTTACAATCAAAACATTTATTAAATGGCTCCGAATTAATTTTAAAAATGTTCAAACACCTTCTGTGTAACCTAACAACAATTATAAATATAAATTTCAAAATATATCTAAAGCTATAATTCATATATACTCTACGTATTTGTTAATAATTCTATGTGTATAAATTATATTAAAATAAATAAGACCAATGGGGTCATTCATGCAAACTAATGTGATATTTCTTAATGCATACATTCCATTTTATTAAATGCAAGAACTTATAATTAACCTTAGACAATTTTAAAATAATTAAATACAGGAAAAAAAATTAACTACAGGGATGATTCAAAAGAATCTTTTTCCTACTACAGTCAAAAGTCGTTAATTCGGACCTCAAAGCTACAAAATTTCTGCGCATGCGTCGCATTGTCGCATGCGCGTAAGACCTTTACGGCTGCGAATATGCTTGTGCGCGTGCGCAAAATACGTTTACGAGTGCGCGCTTAATGTATAACAGATGGTATAAGCTAAGCTAAAATTATCTAATTATCTATTTCAGTTAATGTTGCAGATTGCATTGTTTCTTAATCTTCGTATTGGATCCGGCTTATTATTTTTTGCAGACTGTTAGAGCAATTTTATAAAAGTAAGCTTGAACTTTCGATTATGTCAAATAGAATTTCTGATATATATTTATTAATATGTAAAGGATCTACAAAGCGAAAGTATGTTTCGAAGTTCATTAAACAAAAAGTGGAATTGCTACAAAAAATGGATAAAGGCATATCCTTTGTTTATCTTTAACGCCACGGCACGCAATGAATTGGAAGTTGATCTGTCAGCACTATCCTTATCTTCAGGGCAGATGTTTTTATTTTATTTGGCTTATAATTCCTTACTAAATGTAGTATTTCATCTCAACGTACTCCGTCTTTGATATGATTTAAATCAAATTCCTCGTCATTATAATTCGCTTCCGATAGCGAAGAAAGTGACAGAGGTTATTGAAAACGAAAAAATTTCGATTGACAAATTAGTCAGTAGACACAGCAATTATAGGACTTGAACAGCGGAACTTTGTAAGAAATTATGTCTGTTTATAGAATTAAAGAGAATGTATTATCACATAAAAAACAAAGCAACTTAAATAACTTACATTGAAAGAAATGTTTAATAAAGTAAACAAATAAATATTAAGCTTTTTTTTTTGTAAATTTTGATACCCTTTAGATCATAATTGTTCTTTATTTCATAAATTACAGTTTCATATTTTTAATTTTATAATTTCTGCATGCCATCTTACCAGATTTAAACTGATGAACTATAATCCGGAATCGCCGAAGTCCCGACGAGTCCGGATTAACAACTTTTGACTGTATTACTTGTAAATTAGAACTTCTGTCTAGAAGAACTTTGCATTTAAAATGTTCCATCCCCAACAAAATTGGTGTATTTAATTATGGCAAAGCACACTAGGGCTATCTGCCTAAGAGGAAGGATGCCTTCCTGGAAGACTTTCTAAGGGAAACAGGCTCGTATATACGTTACACATGGGGAAAACCATGAAAACGCCCATGCAGACAGCCTGTTCGCAGGATTCGAACCTCGGACCGAACTACCAGTGTTTAGCGACTTTACCGCTTGGCCGCTGGTGGGCCTCCATCCCCAACAGAAAAAAAAATCCAGATTCCCTTCTGACATAAATATAGATGCAAAAAACAATGTTTTGATTTAAAATTCTCAAATGAAGCAAAAATTTTGTGTCCAAACAGATGAAGCTCTCTGTCACTCATTAGAGCTCACTAACAACAACAAACTTAACTGTGGCATAGAATTAAATTATTATTACGAAAATGTACACTTATTTTTAGACATAAAGAGGATACACATTATACATTATGATGAAAAACAAATTTTTTTTTTTTCTTTTTTTCTTTTTTTTTTTTTTTTTTTGCTTATTACGTGCTTTGCCCTCAGGCACTACATGGAAAGGGAGGGATGCTCCGTGGAGGTCTTTCTAATGGAAACTGGCTCATATCCACATTACACATGGGGAAAACCACAAAAACGCCCATGTAGCCAGCCCGTTCGCCGGGACTCGAACCCCGGACCGAACTATTAGTGTTCAGTGGCTTTTACCGCTCGGCCGTTGGCGAGCCAAAAACAAATTTTGAATACAGAATTAAAGTTAAAAAATTAAAACTAACAATGCAACAGGAGATTTTATTCCAGGAATAAAACTATCCAGTACGAAAGTTCCTTCATCTAATATATATTCCAATTCAACATTCCTGGATTTTAGAACACTGCTAATTTGCTGAGCACCATCCATTCCATTACTCTGAAATGCAAAATATTACACTGATTAGAATAAAGCACATAAATGCAATGAAGCAGAAATTTTATATATAAAAAAAGCAATTTGAAATACCATATCTCTTAAATAAGGTCGAATACTTTTAAATTCTTAAAATGATTTCAAAATTTTAAATACAATACACTTAAAATTATGAAAAATCATTTTTAAGCATGAATTTACCTACTTTCTTATGCATCAATTATTATATCTTAAAATATAACTTTAACATCTGGACACTATTGAGACTATAAGTAATTTTGCATTGTTTCTCCAGACTTAATAAATTACACACAACATTTATTTTGGGGAATAACTGATCATCCTAAATTATCACAAGCACAAAGACAATTTACATGCATTCTGCTTCTTGCTCTGGTTCAGGAGAAAGATAAGAAGGAATATCCTCTTGTCTATTTCATTCACAGATGGGTTACATCCAGACACTTCATAAATTAGATAATAACTTGGACCTGAATTTTATTATTATTTTTATTGTTAAGACAAAATTCTTTGGGAAAATAAAGGCTAACAAATTTACTAGTACTTATTTCTGGAGCATTTGGGAAGAATAAAAATGTCACACCAAATTATCATTGAAATAATTTCAGAAGTTAAATAGAAAATGCTATACACCAAACTAAGGGAAAATCCAGATTTCTCAAATTTGTCATTAAAAAAGCTAATCTGAAACTGGTAAAAAGATAAAAGAAGGTAATTTTTAAAATTTGAAAATAAAAAAAGTTAAATCCTTTAAAAACATCAGCTAGAAAAGTAAAGAACTAGTAATAATTTAATCCATATTTAAAGATATAAGTACATTGTTATGAATTTTTTATATATGTAAACAATTTTAGTGAAATTATGTTTAAAACTGTAGTATCTTTCTTATAAAGTAGCATGAAAAGTCTGAAAAGAGCGAAGCTTTGCTGGAAAAATAAGATTATAGACTTACTAAATTGGCTGAATATCACTAAGCTAGAGATGGTTTTGACAACTAATTTTTGTCACCAAATTTGGCGTGAAATCCCAAAAACTCGTCAAACTTGGCAATTATTTGGTGACATTTTCGTTCAGTCCCTGTACAACTATAACTTGTATTGTAATTGAATAATTGTAATTCATCTCTGTATGTAAATGCAACCATATCTGGACCTTATATGCCTTTCAGTAATTTTGAAACGTGGAAGATTTCTATTGAGATTTGATTTGAGAAGTGAAAACTATATAAGACCGGAGAAAGAATCTGCTCTCAGTTTTTAGTTAACAGTTAATTTCGGAGTATAGAGGGTATAGGAAGATTCCTCTTTTAGATGTGCTTTACACTGTGCTGTGTTTAACTTTTTTAATATTTTAAAGAGTAACTTGTAAGTGTACTCTGTGATACTATGAAAACCTATATGAATATTTTTGTGGAAAGTTCCAGAACTGTAAGGTGTTTCTTTTGGTAAAATAAATTTTATCCAACTATCAACGTTTCTGTGTGCATTCGATTTATTTCAAACCCGTACACACATAACAATACTATAATAAATTTTAAATAACCTGAAAAACATTAAAAAACTTAAACTTAGGATTTTTCTCCCAAACAGGAAGACACATCAGTACAATAAACTGGCATAAAAGGCAGATTTAGAAACAATGATCTTGAGTAGTTTTTGAGATAAATACAGTGAAGCACTGTTTACGTGTCTTTTCACCTCTGTCTTGACTCATCACATTCAATAAAATACTCTATTTACATGATGCATAACCTCAGTTTATAGCATTTCCTCCTTGGTTTATTCATCTAAACGTTTTCCCCCAGCTCTAAAAGTTTCTCCAAAAATCTTTCTTTCAGTAATATTTGGAAACTTTACATTCAAATATGAAAAGAAAAAAGAAATGCAGTGTCTCTTAGACAAGTATTCAAATCTGGCTGGTGGATGGAAGGGAAGCTACTTGGAAGAAGAGAACAAAAATGAAGTCAGACAGTTTGCAGATGATAAACACTTCATTCAAGTATAATTTGGTAAAATGCTTTTAACTGAATTGCAATTTGCTCTTTATTTAACATTCGAAATCAAACAGCACATCAAATGACACTTGAAAATTTCTTTTCTTAAGGAAAAATTAAATCACCATCCAGGCTAAAATATTCCTAGAATAAAGTATGATTTTAATTGTGATAATATTTAATTTTTTTAAATGGAAATCACTTTACACAATAAAACCATGATGATAAAATTAAATCAATAGATTAGCAGTAGAATTAAAATTCTATAGCCAATACACATATATCACATTCTGAACATGTATATCTTTTTTTGACAATCCCTTGAATGATATATACACAGTGCTTAACTGTAATTTTTGATAACAAAAGTTATGTAGAAATTTTTATATGAGCCAAAGTTCTCAAACTCTGGTAGACTTTTAAGCAATATTTTAGGAATGGATGTGAATGATAATTATCAGTGCAGAAATAAAATGGTAAAAAATACCATATATTCCAGGTGCGTAGCCAGGGGGGGTGCCCTGGGCGCCCGGTCACACTCCCAGTTCATCACTACTTATACTTAAAAAAAAGTACTAATTAATTTCCAATAGATTCTTTCTTCAAACTTTTAAAATATTGCTTTCCAGCTTTCCAAAAACACTCATGTGATTAACAAAGAATAAACGGAAAGTCTCTGACTTTCAATTTAGAAGTAAGATCTGGAAAAGTCAACCTTCTTCACCAAACAAGCAGTGGGAAAATGCTTCGAAGGTTAGGTGACACTTTCAAGTTGTAAAGCTTTTGTTCTTTTACAGTTTTGAATAGCCCTCCATATCCGGTCTCACTTTCCCTCTAGCCTTTAAGCTTATGTCATTAAAGAACCAAAAGCCCTTTCGTTTCGAACCCCCCCCAAAAAAATAGATATTTAGCAAAAAAAAAGAAAGTGATAAGTTGGGGTATTTCATTTTGAGATTTGCTACTTATTACTTAAATATAATACAATAATATCTAACTATTGCACAAAAGAGGGAAGGAAAGATATTAAAATTATTTTGAGTAGTTGTTTTTTACTTTAATTTCGAAATTCAGTTAAGTCAATAACCATAGCATAAATATTAAACTTTTTTTTTTTTTGGAATAATGTTGAGAGCATGTCAACTTTGTTGAATTCAGTGCAATGAATTTTATTTTATTAGTCATCTAGCAATTTAAATTATTGTTATTTAAGGTGATTTAATAGGGTAGCTGTTAAATATGCAGACAGGTCATTCACTGCCAAGTAATTTATTTTATTATTAGCCCAAAGGGGCAAATTTCTCAGAAGGGCTATTAATTTCATTTTGGTATTTTGCGTTTGTTTAGTATAAACGTCGTTTCTTTTTTCAAACTGTTGGCAGCAAATATTACAGCCCTACATAATATTTAAAGAAATTAAATAATGAAGAGTCTGAATGAATGTATGCATATTTGCTGCATTGTGAAAAAACAATGATACCTAGAGGCATCAAATTTTAAATAACATAGTCCTTCGCCCAAGTTTGGAATTTGTTTTATTATCTATTTCCTGTTTTGTAAAACTTTAACGAATTTTCGATTAACAAACTCATCCATTTCAAAATGAGCAATGGCAACATTGTACTGGAGGGGGGGGGAATTATCTCCAGCGTGAGAGACTGTGCATCGGAAATTCGAAAGATATGCTTTTTTTAGTTTATTTGGGGTATGCAAATTCAAATGCATTTTACTTTTTGATAATAAAGTGTTCACAGTTATTCTGTTGAATTGAATTTTATGGTTTAAGTGCGAAGAACATGATATTTAATAAAAAAAAAAAAAAAGAAAAAGAAAAAAAAAAAACGCCCCTTTGGTCATAATATAAAATTTGAAAGCTTTCAGATTTATTTTGTGTGCAGCTGCGTTTGGAACAAATAATCAGATAATTACCGATTAAAAGGAAGTATAAAACAAGAGAATTGAAATAGAATGAAAAATGTACATAGCCGATTAGTGTGCAAAATATATAAGATTGCTGAACAGTGCTAGTTCGACATAGCTTAGAATATCAAGGAATGAGTTGAACGAGCTTTTATTGTTTTTCTTGTGTATAAGATAAATACAATCCTGTTTCCTTTAAAAGTCCTCCACAAATGGGATGGCATCCTTTCCTATAGACAGATAACCTTTGTATGCATTTCCGTACGGATTTCAACAAACAGTAGCAAGCATATATGAAATACTAAATGATAAAAATTTGATGTAATTGTAAGATTATACACATCATCGACATCAAGCAGAAACCACGAATCAACAACATTCAAAGGAAATAATTTTATTAGCATGGGCTTTACTTTGCAAAAATCGATGTTCTACACTATAGTTTTAACATATTTATCAAAAACAAATGCATTTTACTTTTTGATAATAAAGTGTTCACGATTATTCTCGGAAGGGAATGCAAATGTATGGTTCATTTACATCACACAATTAGATTCATGATCTAAAATTTTAAAACGATAGTTATTCATGTTTAAATTCTATAGTGTAGAACTTCAATTTTTGCAAAACTCTTAAAACTGCTTTTTTTTTTTTTTTTTTTTTTCAATTTTAAAGCTTGTAAGGATTATATCAATTTTACTAACAGTTAAATTTTGCGTTAAACTTCCTTTCCTATCAATTCTTAACTTCAACTTACCACTTTCGGCCAGAACGTAGTTTTAGAATCAAGTCTGAATACATAATGAGGAAGAGCAGCATTTAACCGCGAAGTTCTTCGGTCTTAGTGAGAGAGATACCAGGTATTCTGGATAGCACGTGTCCGCCTTTTTAGGCTACTCTCTCGTAAGCTGTTATTACACTCGGCCATACTTTAGGCCTTTGATAGCTTTGCAGTCTATTAACGTTAAGGGGCCAACTCTGTTAGAATCTTGATAGCTTCGGCTATATCTCTTTAGTTAATATTAGTTTAGTTTAATTCTTAGTTAAGTTCAAGCCCTAATGTCGGCTTTAT